CGCCACCGTCCGCCACGCGCACCGGCCGAAGAGCAGAGAAGAGAGGGCCGACCATCTCCTGAGCCACCCAACGGCCCCAGGCCCGCCTCGAACAGAACCACTGCAGCCCGCGCCGCCCGCTGAGCAGATCCAGCCGAAACCGCCGCCACCGCCACCCCGGGTACGCAACCAACCGGAACCACCGCGTCCGGCCCTCCACGCCTGGCATGCCGCTCCGCAACACCGCCATATGAAAAAGAAGTAAAAACCTCTCGACCTCCGCATCCGCACATGCACATGTCCGTAGACAAGATGGATATGCTTGTGACATGCGCTTCTCTTGTGAGTTGTACCCAGTGTCAATGTACATGCCCCAGGGAGAGTAGATTACAACTTGTATTGTGATCAAGTCAAAGTGTGTGCTTCGTCGAGAACACTGAAGTGGACGTGACCGTCTCAGCACCGCCGGATTTTCAGATTTGGCCACCCTCCCTAAACAGTTCGTCACTTGACCGCGCGCGTGCCGTACCGCCGAACCCAACCAACCCAACAGTCCACCACGCCCTCATCTCTGCACTTCCGCTCCGCGCGTCCAGTGCGTCCCCACTCCGCCACTCGCTTCCACTCCCCTACTTCACGGCGGCGCCGGGCCGCCGACAAGACGCTTGCGCCTCCCCAGTCCCCGCCCGGCCACCCTACCTCGCCCCGCAGCGCAGCGCGGCCGAACCACCGTCCACCCTCGTCGCGGAAGCGATGGCGGGCGGGTCTTCATCATCGTCGTCGTGGGGCCCCAGCCCCGCAGCGGTGACGGCGCTGGTGGGGCTGCTCGGGCTCGGCGTCGCGGCCTACATCGTGACATGGCCCTTCTTTCCGTGCTTTCGCCGTGCAAATTTTTGTGCTGGGCAAGCAACTCGTTTGTAGCCGCTGGCAATTGCGTTGTTTCCGTGGACGAGACACGACAGGACTGTGGATAGAGGCTAAACACTTGACAAAAATTTAAAATTAGGATATCTGTAGATTGACATGGTACTGAAAGGTTGAGGCCGATCTTGTCTTCATGCTATCACATAAGAGCATTTCAATATTTGTTATTTGATTCTCAAGTTTTAACCTGCGATGGCTTTCTTTGCCCTTAGTCTAAAAGATGTCTGCTCGTCTAGTTGCTATCTGTGGAAATATTGTCTTATGTTTATTGTTCTCTCTGGACGATGTAATTAGTTTGTACTCCCTCCGTCCAGAAATACTTGTCATTAAAATGAATAAAAGGGGATGTATGTAGATGTATTTTAGTTTTAGATACATTCCTTTTTGTCCATTTTTTATGACAAAGATTTTCGGACGGAAGGAGTATCCATTATATACTCTGTTTCGAGACTTCCGTCAGCAGTTTAACTATTTTTTTTCTTGAATATGCACGAGTGTGCGTACAATATTTTATAGAGGGGGGGGGGGGGCAGAACCCAATCCACTGTCGATGTTACAGAGTGACAAACACTACAAGATCGCTTACAACCCACTATTCCACCAGTGGTTTACAGAATGGATCACTCTCGACTCGCCCACCCCGTCAACATCTTGAACAATCTATCTAGTTCGCCCTTTAACAGATTCGCCTGCTGCCCGGCTCTGCCCTCGACCACTATTCTCATGACCACCACCTCCAGTGACGGAGAAGCGCCATCAAAGATGACCGCGTTCCTATGTTTCCAAAGCTCCCAAAGCACAAGCGTGAAAATGGCCCTTAGCTCCTTTGGTTCGTGCACTCCTGTCAGTAGTTTAACTAAGTAAGCTCAGTGATTTTTATCCATATTTACAGTTAGTCTTGATTTGGATGTTATGCTACCTCTGAAATATCTTAATTCTTAAACAAATAAACATGGTAAATTTCCATGTCCACCTGTGAAGTCATATCATACTATACAGTATAATTATAAAACCAGTCCATAAGCTCTACATCTAAAGTCATACTTCTTTGCACTAACTCCATAGTATTTTAGAAGCATTGTCTTGCCTGTAAACATAGGCACTTTGTTATGTATATCTGTACCATAAGCAATTGAACATGTCAAATGAAGCACCCAAGTGCACTTATTTTCCAGAGCCATATTTTGCAATTATCTGGTGACTGGTTTAACTAGTTATTATTGCTTCTGATGTTTCCAGACTGTGCAAAGCAATTCAAAGAGGTCAAGAGTCATGCTTCTGGTGAAGAAACAGAGAAGGGTCACACAGAGTTACTGATAGAAGAGCTAAAGCAGAGAGAGGAGGAAGCAATGGAAGCTCAGCAACAAGCTGATGTAAAATTGCTCGAGGCTAAAAAATTAGCTTCGCAGTATCAAAACGAGGCTGACAAATGCAATTCAGGTATGGATACATGTGAAGAAGCCAGGGAAAAGCCAGTAGAGTCATTGTTTGGTCAGAAGAAATTAACTGCTTTGTGGGAGAAAAAGGCTCGCGAACTAGGATGGAAACCAGGTAATGCCATGCCTCACCGGAATCAGTAATGAACACTGGAGGATGATGATGGATACAACATGCTCATTACAAACACCCTTCCGGGGTGAATTTACCGTCCGGGCACCCTGGGCACGTGCCCGGGCTCAAACACTTTTCTGAACTATAAGGAGCTTCCCGAGCGGTCTTTTTTTTTTTTGAGGATCAGCTTCCTGAGCGGTCGTACGTTTCAAAACCGCTGGACAATACGAGAATGCACTGAAAAATACGCAATCTGCTCTAATTGGGCCAGCCTGGGCGTTCTTTTTTTTGCATTTCGGGCCTTACTTATAGTAACTAGAAGGCCTTACTTATTGAGTCCACTTCCTACATGGGCCATACCAGGTCAAGATTGCTGGTATGTGCGGGAGCACCTATGTGCCGCATTCTGCGGCAAATATACGCCATTTCGCACAGGAGTGCGCCCGGCTGGGCCGGCCCATTCGGGTGTGCCGCGAAAAATCACAAAAAGTTGTTCGCATCAGTTGGGACTCCGATCCCGCGACTGCCTACTCACGCGTGCACCTGCTAGCCACTACGACCAACGAGATCTACTGCCTAATATACATGGCAACTTTTAAAAACTAATAGCAGCAGCAGACTTAACACTATTAGAAAGAATCCCGAAAAATATTCTAAAATTCGAGTTAGTTTCCAAACTTGCGAACAATTTATGACAAATCAGAACATTTTTCTGAAATGGCGAACACATTTTGAAATTTCTGAATTTTTTTTGTAAATACGAACATTTTTTGAATTTGTGAACAAAACATCAAATCAGGACAAATTTTTAAAGTCACAAACATATTTTAAACTTTTTGAACAATTTTTAAAATGGAGAAAAATTTTGAAAATCACAAAAACACAAATGCGAACAAATTTTGAATATGTGAACAAAAAATTGAAAACATGAACATTTTTGTAATTTTTTGAAAACAGGAACACTTTTTGAAAATCATATCATTATTTGAAAAGTTATAAAACAATTTTTGAAAAAAAAAACATTATGAACATTTTCTTAAAATGAGAGCATTTTTTAAATCCCCGCATTTAAAAAAATGAGAAAATTGTTTAAATTCCCAAATTGTTTTTTAAAAATGCAATTTTGTTTTAAATTTATGAACAAGTTTTGAAAACACGAACATTTTTCAAAAATTGAACAATTTTTAAAAGCACGAATATTTTTGAAACGACATTCCAAACATGTTTTGAAAAATGAAAACATTTTTTAAATCCACGAATAATTTTTAGAAAATGCAATTTTTTTTTGAATTTATAACAGTTTTTGAAAACATGAACATTTTTTAAAATAAACATTTTGTAAAAGCACGAATATTTTTTTAAGTTTCCGAACAATTTTGGGAACGTGAACTTTAAAATAAGAAAAATAAATTGAAAAAGAAAAAAGAAAAAGAAAAAAGAAAAAGAGAAAATCAAAAAGTATGAAAAATCAAAAGGAAACAGAAGAACCGGTTCAGGGAACCTTTTAGAAGGTTTCCAAAACCAGAAAAACTGGCTGGGAAACTTTAGAAGGTTCCCAAAACCGGAAACACTGCATATGGGCCGGCCCAACTTACCTCCCTATCGCTAGCTCTCTGTGCGAAACCTCGACACTACGACGTAGAATGTGTCACATAGGATATTCCGGTATGTGCCTCCCCGTCTGTTAGTATGGGCACAGGAGTTTCTAAAAAAAGATTCTAAAAAAATGCATGGGCACAGGAGTGGCTAGGGTGCAACCGTCAAGAAATAGTGCATTTGAACACTAATTGTGCCGGTTCTAAGAATGTAGTTATGCTTGCTAAAATTTTATACTTGAGCATATTTTTTATTGATACTAGAAGAAATTCACGAGTGGAACCGCCACTAGACCCACAACAAGTGATGTATCTTGTAGATTCTCTTGTGTGCACAAGGATGAATGTTGGAGACTCGACGGTTGTCGTCGAGACATCTAAAGGTTTGGTTGCCTGACTAGTGTTTGAAGAGTTATTTCATATTATATTTCATGTTTTTATTTACTTATATGATCTACGAAACATTAGTGTGTATATTGCACACGAGGTTTATCCAAATATATGATATTTGTGGTGTCTGATAGACCAAAGTAAATTTTAGTTTATGGTGTGCCCAGGCTTTGGCAATTCCCTAGCTCCGCCACTGCCCTTCCCTCGGTGATAGAAGTAAGGAAAAAGGGTTTGGTCACTTTGCACCACGACGAGCTCACTTGTCCATAATTAATTTATATTGGGTTTGTAGTAATATGTCCATAGTCAGCATTATATTAAAGGGTCATAGAATGACACTCGTCACTTGTAAGACTTGAAGGGGTGATCATTTACTCGGTTATTGTTTATGGATGATGGTAATGAAGAAGTAATTACCCTTATTTCTACAACTTGTTGATTGGATAGTTGTTTGATGAGACGCCACATCCTTTTTTCCACTCGTGATACTACTTTAAAAGATAAGAAGGTGGAGAACAAGTTTACTTTAAAAGTGATTTTATCATTTTAGTGAAGTGAGTACCGAATACACCTTTAAAGGAAGGGAGAGAAGCTACTTTTAGTACCTTTTCTGCTCAACAAAGAATTCAAGTTCTCAGCCAAACATGCCCACAATAAACAAAATAACAGCTTCTGCCAACTCTTGGGACATTGGTACAGTTTAACCTCTTACATAGACTCTTCGTATTCTTCTCTACCATACCACTCATCTTATATATGTAGGTTACTTGGTACTGTCTCTTAACAATTGTAATTGTACACTTGAATAATATTGCCCACGTTGATTGGAAAATAGTACTGTGATAGGAATGATAGGCAACGGGAGCATCGGTAACATTGTTTGCTAGGCCTATAGGCAGAGAAGAAGGGGGTCCAGCACTTTGAAGCTCGTTGTGGCGAACTCACGATATTTATTCAGGAGTTCGCATATCAACTCTCCATTGCCACAAAAAAAACTCTCCATATGCTAGATGTACCAAAAAACATGGTACAATGATCTGGCTACAGCGACGGAATGGCATGCTTGTTATTCTGTTCCCCTCTTTGATCAGACGTGAGAGGCCAAAAGTTAAGAACTGAGCATAGCTGCACCACTTCATCATGTTGACGAGGTCCATGTACCATTAATTCTCATGTATATCTGAGATGAACCTAAAGCCATATGCAAACATAGTAAGAAAAAAACTCCCCCGTAGTTTAGAATCACACATTGAACTTAGCTCATCACCAATCTCACCGTGGTGTAAGTTTATTCTATAGTAAACAAACATCCACGATACATATACTTGGCACGAGAGAATAACTTTGTAAGTCAACACCCAAAAATGTGCTAGCTTTTGGGACTCTAATCTTAGCTTTCACGACAAAATATGGTCCAAACTATGGCAATGCCTCGTATTTTTCAGGCGTGGCCAACAACTTGCTACTGATGAACGATGAGGCCACTCTATGATGGTGCCACAACTGATGCCACCGACCAATACGTGTTCTCCCTAGAAGCGCACATCTTCTTGATCAAGTGGCAACCTCGTCGTCACACTCGTGGGGAGGCATCGACACAAAGTACCGGGAGTTATGTAGTTCTTTTTCTGGGGAGCGCTCTAACCTGTGACTTGGATGTCGTAACAAGCATTCATAGATTACCTTGCTAAGTTTGTTCAATGATTATGCATCAGATTTTCGATGCCTGGCCTTTCCATGACTGATTGATTATGAATTTAAGCATGCTTGAATTTGGGGACGAGACCAAGATGTTTCACTTATTGAGAAAAGTCAGAACAAGAGCTTAGGTTGTAGCTTTACACTGGTCACTGAACAAGGTAGACATGTTTTATGAAAAGTCGATGCCTATCTATATGAGCATTTGAATATTTGCTCTTCAATTCTCAAGTTCAACCTGTGATGCCTTCTGGTTTTGTAATACTAGATGACCAGTTGCGCCAAATGGCGCAAAGACCCATTTAAAACCATGTTTGTGTTGAAAATATTTGCATTTTTTCAATAACTGTATATTTGAGTACATTTGGTAAGAACTTATACCCCTATATATAAAGGAAATTAAATGCAAATATTTTCTTAAGGTAATAATGCCTCAAATTAGATCATTGATAGGTCAAGATAGTTGAGTCTGCAATTAGGAACTCCGAGCAGCTCTAAACTTGCATTAAAAAAGGATTTCAGTGGAATAATATGTTGATCCAACCATGACTTCTACTGGCAAATGCTACTTTATCTAAAATATACAGATTTCTGTGCTCAGAAAGTGCAAACAATTTGTCACATTGAGAAATCTATCTTGGCATTCAGTTTATAACATAACAAGGAATGAGAGCTTTGACAAGCTTTTACACTTGGTCAGATTTTGCATGCATGATTTGTCAGATTGTAATGTCATGATTTGTCAATAACTGAATGTTTTCAGTAGGCTGATGTACAAAACCTGAAAAATAAATTCAGTTAAAGCAGAAGTGCAGAGTGTATGTAACAGAAAATTCAGCTATAGAAAGAAGCGCAGAGTGTATGTAACAGAAAATTCAGTTATACTAAAACCTGAGTGTATGCATATTTGAAGAGTACTCAAATGTTCTGAAAATAAGATGTGAGACCAGTGCATAGATAGACCAATGCCGAGACCAATAAAATTTAGCTAACACTGGACAGAGATGTCTTTCCTTGCAACAATCTCTACAGAAAATTCTTGTACTCATCTTAGCTCTTAGCTAACACTGGACACTGGAGTAGTTTCAATTTCTAAAAAAATGGGGTGCAGTACAAGAACTAAGAAACCTCTGCACACCATTTTTAAGCTGTTCTAGAGACAAGATGGCACTGCATCATTTTACAAGCCATTCCAGTGACAAAATTCCTGGAATATTTTCTTTGATTTTAGTAGTCCAACAACATTCTTTTCCCCAAACTACTTTGTGTGGTGATCAATCAATCCATTAACCCTACAAGACACATGCACATCCTCTTTTTTATGATACATAGATTTCCTTTGTGTG